AGGACATTGAAGACGACGAGCGCAGCGCACGGCCCGATGTGGACGAAGATTATGCGGAACGTGTAGTACGACGTGTAGTAGTAGTCCTCGATGTCCTCCACCCAGTCGGACGACCGGATCTCACAGCCCGTCTGCTCCGAGTCGTGCAGTTGGAAGCGCACCGACACGTACTGCCGGTCGAAGAAACGGGTGATTTGGTGCAGGAATGCCAACAGAAATATCGTTATTATGGCTTTTATGACACGAGGGGTCGTACACCAGGTCCTCGCCACACATGGATGACAGATGCAGATATACCTACAAAATATTTATATTCAACATAATATTAATTAAGCCATTATTTTCAGCTTAATTTATCACAGATTTAATAAATAATTTATATGATAGCTGTATAGTAATGAATATTCTGTATATTTATGTATGTAGTATGTGATATTATAGTGTGTGATTTATTATATAAATATAAGTCAATTATTAATAACATAAAAAAGTGGAGTCTAACAATTTGTAGGTCTGGGTAATGCATAATAAAAATTAGTAGACACGAGTAGGCCATACCTCTGACAGGCCAACAACAGAGTGAACCAAATGGATGCCGTGTGAAAGAAAGCGGGTATCACTTCAATCATGTAATAGTAGGCATAACAGGCGTACGTCGGGTGTAGTAATTTCCAGTGATTATTCAGCGTGTACATATAAAAGTACCAAGGTGCGGGGAACAGTAGAGTGAGTAGGTCGGCGATGGCCATCGACAGTAGCAGTATGTTAGTGGGTGTCCTCATGTGTCGCTGCGATAACACCAAAACTATCAATATATTGGCCACTATTGTGATGATCAGTAGGAATGGCATAATATAGCCGAACATAACGACCGCGTATTCAAAAGGCATGTCTCCGGTCACGTTCAGGAGGTTGAAAGGCACCTGTGTTTCAGTGATTGATTAAATTGTATTCATTATATAATATTTATTATCTATTTTATATAAGTATATTAATATTTTATTGCGTTTACACGGTTATATTATATTATTGTGAAAACAATATTTTCTACTCTAATAAATCTATTAATAAAGTTTATTTCATTCGCTTTTATGGCTATACACTCGTGTTTTTCATCTCATATTCTGTATCATATTCTCTACAATAAGTGTTTTATTGTATAATAACATAATGGCTTTTATATAAATATTATATCTCTATTAAATTTGTTAACTCTAATTTATAACATAATTGTTTATAATAACTAGCCACTAACACTAACTAGCCAGTTCACAAAACACTACTGGAAATGTATTAAGTTTGTTATGACTTTTACAATATAAGTGATTAATGATTGTCTAATGTTTTGTGAGTCTTTGACCGCTTCTCCAAATATCTAATAGTGTTTGAAAACCTTATGAATATATGGCCAAAGAGGACACTATAATCTGCTGAACACATAAGACCTTTCCTGAAAACCCCGGGATCTTATCCACCGTGATATCTGCCATACCATACCATTTGCTAATGTTATATAAATGATTGAAAAAACATCAAAAATTTGAAAAATGAATTTCTCGTCGAAAATATATTACTTTCTCTCCAACTCTACAGAGAATACAGTCATCTCTGGCCACCTCTGGACTCAACAATAAATAACATTTTCGGACAAATATTTCAAATTTCACTTAAATTAAAGCGCTTTTTACCATGTTAAGTTATGTTATGTTATGTTTGCAATAATTTAATTAAAATGTTATAAATTATGAGCGAATAAAGCAAAGTATACCTCAATTTCTTCTGCAGTATTGAGTAGCGAGTCGTTCGTAACATAAGAGGATTGGTGTCTAATAGCGATGTCCAGTGTTTGTGAGATGTTTAGCGACGTATTGGCCTTAAAGTAGAGACCATTGTCCACATAAATGGTCTCTTGAGTTGGCTTCACATCCATTATATTTTATGTACCAAAAAAGGCTTTTAACCTCTTTTTCGCTCTGCTTTAGCTTTAATACTGAAAATAAAACAAAAAGAGCAGACTATAAAGTGATTTATAAATTATATATATAGACATATCTAGACAACTGTTTTCTTTTATATCTTTTTTCAATATTTTATAACATTATTTTATAAAAAAACACATTTATATCTGACTTCAGGAAAAATATAGCGACTTTTGTCGAGTATTTCACGGATTTATGTTTTGAAATGAATATGACTTTCACAGAAATTTTGATTTTCATCGCTATAATGACACTCGTATTAATGGGTCTGATAGTCGCAAAACAGCAAAAAAGTTTGTACCGGTATCAATTTGTTTTTCATGTTTGCGTTGAATTGTTTGCAATCGGAAGTGAATGAAGATATACTTAATTAAAAACTTTTTTCTCTCACAGGTTCTCGCATTAAGTGAATGATATGTATATTTTTGGCATTTCATACAAGAGTTATTATTATATACTCAGACATCTAAATATATTCACACAATATTTTTCCGATAAAAGTGGTCGTCAGCACAAAAAAATCTTTTTAATTAAAACTGAATGTTGGTAACAATCTATCACTAAAACAGTCTGTCGGTAGTTATATGTTAGCCTTCAAATGAAAATAATTAGTAGGTTACTTGTGTACCGGAGCTGAATAATATTATATTCTATACTAGTATAGATTACACATATTACAGAATATTCTGTACGGTATTTGTAATCAAGATTGTAGACTACGGATGCTTATTAGATTGCTATTTATAATCAATAATATACGGTATTTACAGTAAATATTATACTTTAATTGGATTTTTATTATTGTGCATCAATTATATTAATAATTAAAATATCAAATATTTTTTAGATTATTATTATAATACGAGTTATATTGGCCTCGAAATTATGAAAGTATATATTTAAATAATATGGAGAAGCAGTTATGTAAAATATATAGAGTATATTATATTTACTTAAATACTTGTCTATTGGATAAGGGAGGGAATGGGATGATTAATATGAATGAAACGAAAATGCTTAAGAAAAGGTTATTTACATCACGAAACTAATAAAAGTTAACTTTTTCAAATCTCTCTCTATTTTCACGATATGTCAAACTTAAACAAATATTCGCCGACTTTTTACACAAATAGGCAAAAAAGTATTAGACATTTATTATTGATTTTTGTCTCCTTTTCTATCATTTCTATTGCAATACATATGCCTTGCGATCGAAATTTCTTTTTCCAGTATTTTGTCTCCAATTCGCTAACAATTGTGTAAAATTTGAGAGCAAAACGAAATATATTCTGATCTCTTGTCTTAAATAAATCCTCAATTTTTATATCAATAGTATTATTATTATATGAAATTTTATTTGATGCACAATAGTAATAGTCCTTTTATTAAATATTAACTTTTATTAAAATTTTTGTCTAAGCTATTTTATTTAAATTATTCATTTATTATTTATCTCTAAATTTTTAATGTAAACCACATGATTAAACTGCTACATATTATTTATGTTAATAAACTATAAAATCTATTTAAAATAATCATATAGTATAAGTTAACTAAATCAAACATTTTTTAAAGATGGATGCTAATATTTTAATTGAACTAGAAAAATTTAAATTAACAAAACTGTCCCCCACTCCCATTCCCCTCCATAAGTTTTCAAATTCTTGTTTTACTAAATCTATTTACTATTTCCTAAAACTCAAACAAGTAAATCTTTTATAAATACAATTATCTGTCTTATTTAAATAGTTTTTGAATTTTGAAGATAAAAATTTACAAAAAATATAATATAAAGGGTTTAAAAATTTACATCCTACATGTTTTACATCAAGAATTCTAATGTTATTTAAATTTTGACTATTATTTGAAAATATAATGATTTCTCTGTTTATGACAGATAGTAGTGATCATCAAAAGCTGATTCATTCACCAAATGCTTTTCGATATTCAGTTTATTTAATCGAAAAAATAAATGTCAATCGATTTAAGAAGTTTTTAAATTATTTTTCGTCATAACCTAAAATGGTTTCTTGTAAAGAAATATATATTTTTTTAAGATTATTTACTAAAGTATTTAGATTTTGAATTCTTTCGGAAATATATATTATATGAAAAGAAAATATGAGAATAAGTAATAATATAAGCTTATTTTTTTTGTATAAACCCTTTTATTATTCATATTTTTCATCGGATTTTTGTATATTTATTTTGTTCATCAAAATTCTTGAAATGAATGCTTTAAACATTATTTACATTTTGAAATATATCATAGGATTTAAATATTTTATGCCATATATATATATGTTCAAAAAATATATTTAAATTTCTAATATTATGCAATTGTTTTAAATATACTGTAGATGTTTGATATCCGCAAATACTACACGTGTATTGAATATCTGTTTTTATCAGGATAAATTTTGAGTACTTTACGCAACTAATCATCTCTTTATACAGTAATAATAAATTATATTTTCAATACTTAAATTCGTTTGAATTGTTTTTAAAAGATTAAGCTCTGATAATCCAAAAATACTTTTAGTTTAACAAATCACTAATTGAATGCATTTGCCATTTAATATATTTGCCCAAAAAGTTGGATTACAAAAGATTTTTAAAGAGGATTATGTATTAAGTGTTTGCAATTTGTTTATTGCAATTGTATTTTGTGTAATCATTTTTGTAAGAATAATTTCCTTGACATTTACTTATATAATATAAGTTATATTTAAAGGTTTGTAACCAACAAAGGGTGTTGTTGTATAGAAATGAGAGGTTTATTATATTAACAAACACACTTTTATATAGTGTTTACCTGATTCTCGAAAACATTGTTTTTGGGTTCAATACAAGGTTTCATTAAAAAGATATATTGCACTATAGTTTGTAATTTGTCACAAATATGTGTAACCGATATAAACATGAATTTTCATTCATTGTAGACTATAATAGGAAGTTTGAAACAATGAAATAAATATACAATAATAAGTCATAGCATTAAAGCCAAAAAATCATCGTTGAATTAATTGAGACAATAATCATAACAATAATAAATAATTTTTGTTTTGGGAATTCTAGTCAATATTTGTCTGATTAGTGGACTCTAACATCGGTTTATTAGATGTTCACGTGAGCACTGGTAGGGAAATAATATGTTTACTCTATCTGTCCGTAGTGTTCATGGGGTCTGACATATATGTTCTCTGACATGAATCTAGTCTTAAGAGACTTCACTACCCTAATCATCCCCAACGCTAACACTAATACTAATACTGAATAACTATAACTATTATATACTTATAATTATTAATGAATTCTTGAACTGACCGAAAATATTATTTTATTTATTATTCACTTCATTCATTAATCTCCATATAAATATAATTTCGATTTCATAAATTTAATCTTAATATTGATTTATATTTTCCACGTGTATGGCATATAATATAATGAACAATTTTTAATTAATTGATATATAAATATAAAACATTATAGTATTTTATATAATGATTTATTAAACAATTTTTGAATATGTTATAAGCAAGGAATATTCTTGAATTTTGATGTAATTTTATTTATTATTTTCATACAAGTATACCATTAGTTACGTAAACACTCATTACATTGTTTTTCAATTAAATGCATTTGAAATGCATGTACACTACATATTGTACGAGTCTTATGAGAATTATAAGTGTTTACATATTTTCCATTGTGTTTTGGAAAAGGTTTTCATTTTTTATTAATTATGCTAATATTTTATTTTATTTTATTCACATAAATTTATACCGTACATAATATACTCTATATATTTTACATAACTGCTTCTCCATATTATTTAAATATATACTTTCATAATTTCGAGGCCAATATAACTCGTATTATAATAATAATCTAAAAAATATTTGATATTTTAATTATT